CTTGGTGTAATGTTTAGGATTATATATATATATATATATATATATGTAAAATCATCTGTAAACAAACTGTTTTACTTCTTCCTTTCTAATTCAGATGACTTTTTTTTTTTTTTTCCTTGCCTGATTACTCTGGCTAGGACTTCCCGTGCTGTGTTGACTAGGAGTAAGAGTGGATACCCTTTGCTTGTTTCTGATCTTTAAGGAAAAAGTTTTGAACCTTTCAGCACTGAGTGTTATGTTAGCTGTGGGCGTGTCATGTATGTTCTTTATTATGTTGAGGTATGTTCCTTCTACACCCAAATTGTTGAGAGTTCCTTTTGATCATAAATGGATATTGAATTTTGTCAAATGTCTTTCTGCATCTGTTGAGAAGATCATGTATATTTTGTCCTTTTTCCGATTAATATGATATAGCACATTTATTGATTTTGTATGTTGAACTGTCCTTATTTTCCAGGGGTGAGTCCCCCTTAATCAGGGTATATGATCCTTTTAAGGTGCTGTTGAATTAAGTTTGCTAGTATCTTGTTGATAATTTTTGCATCTATAGTCACAAGGTATATTGGCCTATAGTTTACTTTTTTTGTAGCGTCCATATCTGGCTTTGATATCCGGATAACACTAGCCTCATAAAATGAGTTTGCAAGTGTTCTCCCTTATCTATTTTTTGGAAGGGTTTGGAAAGAATTGGCATTAATTTTTTATATCTTTGATAAAATCCACCAGTGAAACCATCTGGCCTTGGGCTTTTCTTGGTTGGTTGCAAGGTATGTGATTAGTGATTCAGTCTCCTTACTCATTATTGATCTGTTGAGATTTTGTACTCATGATTCAGTCTTGGTAGGTTGTATGTTTCTAGGAATGTAACCATCTCTTCTGGGTTGTTCAATTTGTTGGCACCTTGCAGATCTCATGATCCTTTGTATTTCTGTGGTATCAACTGTATTACCTGACTTTTTTGAAGTAGGTCATTCCTCTGTAAGATGGAAATAGTGACACCCAACTCTAGAAAAATCCAATGAGATAATTTGTGTAAAATATCTAGAAACGTGTCTGGTGCTCAATCAGGGCTAATCAAAAATCAGGGCTAATCTCCCAAGGAGACACAAAACAGTTTTCTCTTTCTTCTTGTTATGGAATGGATTAAAATTGAAAAGAGAAGGCACTCAGCAACTGGGAGACTAGAACCTTTATTTGCAAGATAGAGGCCACAATTTGTGTTTTATTTTTTTAAAAATGTAAATGACTTAGGAAGAAAGGAATGTTAGTTGTTTAAGATTATGTGGTCGGTTAAACAGTAAAAATCAAAATGTATATGTTACTTAAGAGTCCCATGCAAAAATCATCAGAAATTAAACATTGCTGAGTACAGTGATAGATATAGTAACAAAATTACACATTGGCAGGTATAATTATTAAAAATTCAGTTTTTCTTGTTTTGAAATTTTAAAGCATTTATAAAATGATATTTTAAAAACTTGCTATTCATTATAGCAATTGAATCACTGAAGAGATTTCATTTTGTTTCACTTTTCAGTGTTCTTGAGTCTTATCTTTTTGTCATAGGCCTATTTTGTTATGTGTTTCTTTTATTTTATAATAAGAAAATTAACAATATTTTTAAATTACAAGAATAGAACCAACATTTTAGTTTTTAAAAGATAAATTATTTATCATGTCTAAAGACTGTTGGGAAATAATTCTATTTTTTAATTTTTCAAAACTAATGTCATTCTACTTTTTTACTTTGACTGCTTTCATTTCAGAGAGCATTCACTGGACATGTTTTTATATATTTTTTTGATTTTAAGGAGTGAAAAATACCTGAAAAATTTAAGGGTGTATTTTCTTATGAGAATGCTGTGTTGCCTATTTATTGTAATATTAGTTCAAAGCTAAATGAATATGCTTTATCATTTCTGAATAACGTGGTATATATGAGACACTATAATGTTAGTTTTATGATGGTCTAAGAAGTGCCAGTGGTTTAAAAACAACATGAACCTTGAGTTTCTTTTGCACTTGTAAACTTTGTTTCTCATGAATATGTGCATTTGAAGATAATATTGCATAATTTGTACAAACCATTCTTGAATAGTTGAAACTTAAATAATTGCAAATTTCTGTGCCTGGTGGACATAAAATAAATATGAAGCATGGTAGATATTTGGTATTTATCTCTTATATAAACTGGCAAATATTAAAAATAGCACTTTGCTGTTTTTTGTTTTTGTTTTTCCCATGGTAAGTGGGCACTGTCTTTATTATTTATTGCTATCATTTGAACAGGTGTCTCAATGCTTGTACCTACTGCAAAACTAAACATGCCAGAGGGAATTTGGCCAGTTATCCAATTGATCAACTAGTGGATAGAGCCAAACAGTCTTTTCAAGGTAAGAGTGTCTAGAATTATGTACAGTTTTAGTCTTCTTAATAAATTATAGTAGTCTTCTAGGTAACACTTGTCTTTGCATATGTGCTTCTTTAGCTTTCTGAAGAGTTTACAAATATTTCAGCTTATCTAATAGATTGATGTTGCTAGATCCAACCAATCAGGTTACAATATTCATATTACTCTTCTTTCACCACTCGTACATTTTTTTGTGATTCTAAGGTAAGTAGCATCATTTGAACTTTATCACCCATCTTTAGATTCCATGGAAAAGACAGAAAGAAAAGAAATCCATGACCTTATGTGTGTTAAGACTTTTGTGAACTGAGTAATACACTAGTTAATATTTCTTTTTCTTTCTTTGGTCAGTTTTGTACGATTTAGGAAATAGAGCTAAGAAGGGCTCTTATTAGCACAAATGATTCTTTGTGTGGGTAGACAGCTACTTCTGAATCATCACTTAGTGGAAAATGTTATTGTCTAAGTATTTATCAGCACGTAGTAAGACTTATCTTTTATATGAGTCATAGTTGCATTGACACATAACTGCTTAAACCATAAACTTCACTTTTGTCTTTGTTTATAATATGTGTATGTAACATTGGTGTGTTTTTACACCCAACGTGAGATAATCTATTGTCTCATAATCTTGTGGGCTAATAGTTATTGGCAATGTTCTTTTCCTTTTAGTGAGTAACTTTGAGTGCTGCTTTCAGTACTTTCACACCCCGAACTTCAAACTATGAGCTGAAGACACAGTTCTTTATTTAGTCTACTATGTAAAGCTTTTATCAACATGAATTTGAAATGCTCTTTAAATAGAAAAATATTCTTGATTGATTTATTAACACCTCCCAACATTTTTTTTTCTACTTTTATATTCTTAATTCAGTCCCCTCTTCCGTTCCCATTCCACTTGTATTGAACAAGAAATAAAAAGAAACTCATTGACTCTTGCCGGTGTTCTATTTTAGCGCCAGGAAATGTCTAGGTAGCTGTCTTTTCTACCACAACTACTTTAAGGATTTTTCAAAAAGGGCATAAATTTGCAATTTAAAAAATATATGTCAGTTAATGGAGATATTAAAACTATGTGATCTATCCACCAAACACTGCAAATTGAAAGGCATATGAATTAATGAGTTCCTTTGAGGTACTTTTTCAACATTATGCATTCTTAAGTACAACTACATATAACTTTTGAAAATGTTCTCATTTTACTCTGGAATTTATTTGAAAAATATAGAACTACTAAATCACCATGTAAGAAGTGAGTATTCTGTTGGCTCCCTCATATCTATCCTCACTTATTACCTATACTAACACTTTGATATGATTGCTTTGTGACTTAATATGGACATGTTTGTGTATTATATGTGACTTGAGGAAAAAAAAGAAAGGAATAACCATAGTTTTTATACAGTGATTATAGAATTATTCCAAAGATATCCACCCAACTTAGCTCCCTGATTTTTCTTTAGAAATACCCTCTGAGAAACAAAGGTACAATGTGTTACTTCCGTCAGACTTTACTTGGTGGTTAACATTGAAATATCCAGGTGGGTTGGGCTAGTTAAGGTGAGCGCTTCAAAAAATATGTATCAGAGGTTAGGAGTGACTTAGTGACTCAGAAGAGATTTATTTGTATTACATTTATCACCATCAGTAGATATTTATGTGCCTTTTTATTTCCAATCATGAAATGTTTGCAGTGTAAGGTTTTTCTGTTGTCTTGTTATCTGTATATTAGAGTTGAAACTGAATGCTGGTTTTTGGATTGGTGAGGTCATTTGCTTGATATGTGGCACTGTTACTAAAATAATGAGGTCATAACTTTCCAGATAAGCTATTTTATTTAGGAAAGTTTTAAGTCGTCAAGTATTTGATGCTGTTTGCCACAGAAGAGTTTGAATTTGAAACAATGTTCTGCTGATTATTGGCCACATGATCTGAACAAGGTACTTGACCTCTCCAAGCCATGGTTTTCTCATTACTATGATATTTAGTGTTGATTTTTGTTAAGATTTGAAATAATTTATATGAAGTAATTGCCTGTATCCTTATTATGAAGAAGACATGTTACTTAAACTGAAGGAATTTAAAATAAATCCAAAAAGAGAAGTTTAATTTTGAGTGAGAATATTGGAACATCGTAGCAAACATTAAATGACTAGAAACAAATGACAGATTTTAATTTGCTTTTAAAATGTGTTCTATGAAAAATGTCTCTATAGATAGAAGCTATTTAGTATGACAGTTACTGTTCATTTTCTTAATTTTAGAAAAGCAAATTCATGCTAAGATGGCCTTATAATCCCTTTCCCCTACAGGAAATGTCAGTCTATAAGCTCACATTTTAAAGACATTGAGTTAGTCCATTATTTTTTTTTTTTTCTGCAAAGGACATTGCCTTCTACCATTATTAAATTATCTGTCCTATAATGAAAAATAAACATTATGGTTCTTTGAAAGGTTATATTAAGATGCAAAATCTAAATATGTTTCCAATAAATTTTATCACTATGTTTAAAGTCAGTGGAAATTAAATTTCCCACCCTGAAAATTACATTTGCTTCTTTTTCTTAAAATTTTTAATGACTGCATGTCAGAAATACAAAGTCATTTTTAAGAACTCTAAACCAATTGTAGCATGGGGATTAGAACCCAGGTTGCCTGTCATATGGTAGTACAACTAAGATCACGATTTCTTCTGAATAGCAAATGTAGGAAATATTTTACATTCACAAATGTATTTCTTAGTAGTCTAATAAATGTGAAGAGACTAAGGACTAACCCAAAGGCAGGGGAGCACTGAGAAGTGATTCATATAATCATTCTGAATGTAAATGGCTTCCCAAAGCCCTAAAAATATGCCGACTATGCATTCAGCTGCCAAAAAATGAGAAAGGCAGCCCATTAACTTTTAAATGGATAGCATTCAAGTGAAAATTGTTTATATTTTTAAATGCAAACTTTAGTTTTCCTTTTACAAATATATCTTCTATTTAATTGGTTTCCTAGTTTTTTCCCCCTTTTTTTCCTCACAGAACCTGGACCCCTTCACGTTTTCATTGACTAGTTTTACCTTCTCAATGTGTTTATCATTTTTGTGGGCAGTTCTGCATAAGAGTGTAAGATTTACCGGGTAGCTTCTGAGCGTCATTTCATTGTTCTAACGGACTGCTGGGAAACCTTCCGCCTCACACCCTCACCTTTGCCGAGATTTAGGTTTTAAAAATTCCTGGGCATCACAGTGTCAGGCGGCTGGGATTCGACATGGTTGCATTTTAGATATCTGGAAAAACATGTCAAGCAATGACCAGGACTTTGTTGAGGCCAGAATGAATTTACAAGCTAGTGTTTTCTAGCATATTTGTATTGATTTTTCTCTAGCAGCTAATCAATCAGTTTCAGTTGTATAAGTGATGGAGCAAACCTTTTTAAGTGTGCTGGGTGAGTGGTGTGGAAACAACACCTTTCACTGCTGTCTGTGGAATCACAATGTAGAGATGATGGATGAGCTGTTTTTATAGCTATCGTGTGCTTTGCTAGATCTCATTTGTGTGTTGCTACTTTTTTTCTCCCTCATAAATCTGAAAAACCCCTGCAAGATAAGTTGCATACACTGGTTATGGAAAGGTAAATAAATTAAGATGAAATAGTCGAAGGGAGAAAATTTCTTGATACTTAGTGATTTTAGTATTAACGCTGGAATTTTACTAGTAATAAGTTCTGTTTTGTTTTAAGACTTGCAAAGATACCTTCTAGTGTATACAAGATTAATTATGAAATGCAACTGGAAAACATTGCTTCCTGCTCCTTTAGAGCGGAAAGGATATGAGCAATATTTGATTTTCGGATGTATAAACTTCAGATGGTTGAGTTGTGTGGTTTACATCAAGCCACATTTATTTGACTGATCACTTTTAGCAATGATTACTGTATATTGATTTTGATCAAGATCAAACAAATAGAGAACAATAATTGCATCTTATTAATTTATAAAGCAGTTATTTAAATGTCTCTTTTATTCCTTTATTTTTTCGTTTGTGCTGTTTTCAAATAAAATTGAATAATCTATGTCTTCTAAGGGATTAATAATGTTTAATAATGTTTAATTTACATTTTTTTTGTACATTGTCAACTCCCAAAAAGGATTTCAAGCAGCTTACATTAAATCATTATATTTAGTAAATCATGAAAATAAAAGCTGGATAAAATGCTGTATTGTGTTTAGAAAGAAGGAAGATGATTTTACCAACTGTTAAATCCTGGCTCTCCAGAAGAGTAAGGAAAAGGGTGATTTATATTATTTTATATGAATGTGTAAAGGGAAGTACAATAATACCTTGGATTGCGAGTAACTTGGTTTGCGAGTATTCCGCAAGACAAGCAAACATTTCTAATACATTTTAACATGGTAAACGAGCGATGTCTTGCAATGTGTGTAGTTTGTTTCTGGAATGAATTATGCTTACAAACCAAGATATTACTGTGCATAGTTTATAATGAGAAATGTACATGTTTCTAGGCTGTAAACACTTAAGAATTATTTTCATACATCTTTTTCTAAGGGGCATTGAATAATAAAATATAAATGCCTTTAGCTGGTAATATATAGAAATTCAAGATATAGTCTCTGCATGGCCTTTTCTTATGTTGATTTTTACAAAACCCCAAAATATAATATTGAATGTAAATTGAAAAGAATTTTAATGGGAGAGCTAAATAAATGCATGTAATACATATAATTTGATAGGGGATATAGTGCCTATATAGCTACTATATTTTGCCATGTATATAATGAGCACTGTTTTGCCCAAATTTATGAGGGAAAAATAAGGATGCACATTGAACATGGGTAGTACTAATTCTATATCTATATAAGTGTTTTTAATTCTTTTATTTATGCTTATGAGTTAAAAGTATAACTCTAGTAATCATAACTATATCCATATGCAAAATAATCGGTTTTGTTGAACTTACAACAAACTTGCAACA